AAAACAGACACAATGATGCCGACTGCAGGAGGAAAGCCGAGTCAGTGAATGTGTACGCATCTCAGTGCTGGCAGGGGTCTCCACATGGCTGCTCCAGCACCCAAGGCTGCATTGGGGTAGGTCCATGTGGCTTCTTCTTGGGGATGTCTTCCAGAAAGTCAGCCTTGCCAGCTGAAGCAGGGAATTGCTAAGGCAGCTGCGCGTTGGTGCGACCATCACAAAGCAAGAGACCTGAGAACTCCAAAGGTGAGGCTCACCGAGCCATTTATCTCTCCGCCCTTCAATTAACCCCACATGTATCTATTGGCACAATAAACTAACTCAATTATTCACCAAGTATATCAGAAAGTATCAATATATGAACTAGACAGATAACTATTTTTGCTTTGATCATTTCTCACTAGCTAACTTCTCTTATTTACTGTGAAAACAATTTTCTGTGCACTAAATTTGTGTTTCAGAAGACTTTGTACATATTTATAAGAACTTTCATTATAATATTTTCTTATTTCTGGTGATATATGAATGCTTGCATTTCAGATAAATATGTTTTCAATATTTCATGCTTACAAGATTTTGTCAAAGTTGAATGAAAAATACTTACCGATATTAGAAAGTTATTGTGATGGTCATTGTAAATTTGAATGGCAAATCTTATTTACACATTGAAATTGTTATACTGATTAAATAAAATGGGTGAAGCAATTACCACTGATTCTATAATCTTCATTGTCATCATTGGCATTGAAACAGATGGTTACTAGCTTTCATAAACTTAGTGATGAAATTGAAGCCAATTGGATATACTTGGCTAAGTCAAAGTCAAGCTCATTGACATCGAGTCAATTCTGATTCATTATGGCCCTATATGACAGAGAAGAACTGCCCCTGTGGGTTTTCAAGGCTATAAATCTTTACAGAGCAGAAAGCCTCATCTAAAAGCTGGTGGTTTTTCAATTGCTGACACTGTGTTAGCACCGCAGCATGTAACCTACTATATCACCAAGGTTCCATTATTTGGCTGAACACTGAGGCTTAAATCAAAAATTTTGCATCCCTGGTTAGAAAAGAAAATGACATGCCATTTTTGCAAAATATCACAAGTTGGGTTCTTTCAAAGTTTAAAAATGCATTATCCTACAGATCCTGAGTCTGAAGTCAAGGGGTCTTCCATGATAATTCCCTCTCAAGCTTGAAGAATCTTTCCCATGCTTCTCTCCCAGCTTCTGGCAGTTCTGTGTACTCCTTGGTTTTCGGCTGCATTATCGCATGACCTTCTTCTTTCTCTCTCTGTTTGTACCTTCTTTGTATTTTAATGAGGACACTCATATGCGATTAAGACTAAACTCATGGTAAAGTCACAGATACTATCTGCAAAGTTTTTATTTCTGAATACAGTCTTTATTTCTCAACAGGCACAAGTGTTAGGACTTCAACTTACTGTATTTGGGGACACACTATTCATAACAAGATCTGTATTAATTTTAGTAGGTATTATACAGGATCCATAATCTTGAAAGTGTTAAAGAGAGAGAACTTCAGGCATATCAGAATAAAATATCATATTCAGTCATCATTAAAATATAATGAGCCCGCCCCCAATAAAATGATTTAAAAAGCATAATGAGTGAATCAGGGTTCAGTATAGCACCAATGAAACATACAACTTACCTCTAGTTCTTCCATGCTTCCCCTCGCCCCCCACTATCATGACCCCAATTCTACCTTACAAATCCGGCTAGACTAGAGCTGTACACTGGTCACAGCTAAGAGCCGGAAACAAAGGGAATCCAGGACAGATAACCCCTCAGAACCAATAATAAGAGTTGTGATACCAAGAGGGGCTGTGGAAGGTGGTGGGAGAAAGGAGGAACTGATCACAATGATCTTCATGCAAACCCCTCCCATGGGGGTGGACAACAGAAAAGTGGGGGGTGGGAGACATTGGTCAGTGTAAGACCTGAAAAAAATATATAAATTTTTCAGGGTTCATCAGGGAAATGGGGGGTGGAATGAGCTGATACCAAGGACTCATGGAGAAAATGTTTTGAGAATGATGATGGCAACAAATGTACAAATGTGCTTGAGAGAATGGATGTATGTATGGATTGTGCTAAGAGCTGTAAGAGCCCCCAATAAAATGATTAAACATGTAAATATTTTAATGCAGATAAGTGTGTGTAAGTATGTGTGTATGTAATTATAAACCATACCAACAAGTATGCTTGGAAAATTCAAAATCAATTAATAACATAATTATTTTATCATCACTGCCATTTTTGAAGATATTAATATTCTATATTTCCATTCTAAAGTGTAGGTATATGAATGGTAATGTGTTTAGAATCATAATATAACTCATATCCCCACAAGAAGGTCCATTATTTTTAAAGAATAATTGTTCACAAAACAAAAGCAAGCAGAAGGAGAATACATGACTCATCATTTATTTTTTTCCGTAAAATTTTAATTTAACGACCCTTTCTCAAAAGGGATTTATTTGCTTCACATTTACAATTTAACTAAGGTCATGTGTCAAAAGATTATTGAAAAATGCAATATATAAGTGTGTGTAGTTACATATATGTGTGTGTATATATATGTGTGTGTGTGTGTATATATATATATATATTCCTATCAGTAGTGCTGAGTTGCCAACATTGTTTTTAACACACTTTTCCTAGTGCAATAATTCTGATGAGAAATTTAATTGGTAATATAAAAAGGAAACACTATTAAAGCAAGCATCAAAAAAGTGTATAAATTAATTACCTTTTACTGGCCAATGAGACTGAGAGAATGATGGGACAGTTTGCTTCAGTAAATACTTGCAGTTCTGGTTTCTACAGTTGTTGTAAGTTGGAATTGACTCAATGACAACTGGTTTGATACTTTGAAAATAGAGAATGAAGAACAGTACTCATTTTCCAAATGTTTAATAAGGAGTAAATAAAGAGATGAAGTAATATTTTTTCAAAGCAAACATTTCTGCAAATTGAAACTTAAAATGTAATAAATTGTTTATATATCTACATCTATATGGACTCACTGCCACTGAGTCAATTTTGACCCATAGTGATCCTTTAGGAAAGTAGAATTGCTTCTGTGGGTTTCCCAGACTAACTCTTTAGAGGAGTAGAAAGCCTCTGTCTTCCAATATATATGTATATATTCAATTATATTTATTAACATTTTATGTTTTGAAAATTTCAGTGGACACAGAAAGAGGAGAGAGAGAGAGAAAAAATATGGGCCTAGAAGCTTTCATTTAAAATCAAAACCAATGACAATTAGCTTCAAAATTACCAAAATAATAATTTAATCCATGTTTCAATTAACTGATGGGAACATTGTGTTGGTATGCTTGCTTACAGAGTCAAGATACTCCTCAAACATTATAATTAAAATTAATTAAATGTTAAATTCACTAGCGGACCTCATTAATTAGTGGAGTCTCTAAATCATTTTGTGGAAGACTTGTTTTAATTGTTTAAATAGCCAGTCATTAATATTAAGAAAATTTGTGTCTAATGCCTTTGCCTAGGTGCATGGCAGGAGAGAACAGGGGGAATGGGGAGCTTACCAATAAGTATGAGAAGAAAATATTGTGAAATTGATTGTGAAGATGATCAAATGATTGAATTATTTATGGTAAGTATACGCCAATAAAACATTAAAAAATAAACAAGATATTCAGGCTGGTAAATTGCTTAGGATGTTTGAATTCCTGAGTTATGGCTAGGTTTGGTGCTTACCATATTTCTCAAATTACAACACAGGAAACCTCACCCAACCACCCAATTAAGAAATTGTCATAGAAGTGTTTACAAACGGAGGTGAGATGCTATAAGAATCAATTTATCTCTGCATTGCATTTTCTTTTATTTCTTGGGCTTCTTTCAGCTTCCTATATTTTATGAAGAGTCAAAGTTTTGATGGGATTTAATTACATGAGTATAGTAAATGATAAATTTGGGAGGCAGGAAAGATACATATCTCTAGAGGAGTGATTATTCCAAAGAATGGCATCTCTTCTGTTATTCATGAATATATTGCTCCAATAAAATTAAATGTGTTATTGACTGCTAACACATATTTGTGGATTGAGAAAATAGAAAGTATACACAAGACGATCAATATCTCCTCAGGGGAAGATTTATTCCTGGAAAGGTTATAGGCTGCAGGAGCAAGAATGGCTATGCATCATTAATGAGATTCAGGAGATCCTGTCTCAGTCATACAGGATGTTTTTTTTCTTAGGATCACAAAACAAATATCTAAGTGATAGTCTCAGGGAGAGCACCGTTTCATTAAGGGGAGGCTTTTATTACCTTGTAGTAAAGGAAACCTGGTAGCACAGTTAAAGTTTGGCAAGGTCCTTGGTTCAAACTCATCAACCACTCTGAAGGTGGAAGATGAGGCTTTGTACTCCCATAAAGATTTGCAATCTGAGAAATTCTAAGGAGAAGTTCTATCCTGTGCTACAGAGTCATTAAATTGGAATTTACTAGAATTCACTACTAGGTAGTAAAATAGCCTAAACCAGAGTGTGCTATTATGTTCAATAAACAGACAACAAATCAGCACAATAGCAACAAAAGGATAAGCACACATGTGCACACTTTACACAACAACACTTAGTAGCTGTAATATGCCAGATCCCACATTCTGCTCACTGTCATTTATTCAATTTTGATACGCAGTGGCCAATAAGACAGAGTAGAACAGCTTCTTTGTATTTTTAAGACTGTAACTGTTTACACATATTTCTAATATTTCTCCCATGGAGTAGCTATGGGGTTAGAACTTCTGACTTTGTGATTAATAGACAATGTGTAACCCCCTAATGCCAATAAGACTCTTTGAACCCATTTCATTAATTAGCAGCACATTTTATTTCAGGTTGGCAAAGGCTCAGCACCCTAGCTATTAGTAGCCCCAGAGTTTCAGCACACCAGTTTCTTAATGCTGTAATAATGTCAATAAAAGAAACGATACCTCTATTTTTGAAAAAAAATAAGAAGATTCTCCTTTGTCAAGAGTTTTGTAGTAATCAACTTCTTTAAGCCTGCTTTCATAGCCTTATTTCTCAGACCGTATATGATTGGATTCAGGGAAGGGGGCAACAAAACATAAAATGCAGACAGAATGAGATCAGTGAAGGAAACAGACCCTAAAATAGGTTTGAAATAAGCGCCGAGAGCAGTTGAGATGAACAGTACAACCACTGCCAGGTGTGGTAGGCACGTGGAGTAGGCTTTTGACTGTCCTTCTGTGGATGGAATCTTCTTGACAGTGGAGAAGATGTAGGTATAGGAGATAATGATGCAAGCTAAGCAGCACAAATCTAGTACTGCATTAATGAAAATGAGCGCAATCTCTGCAGTTACATGCTCTGAGCAAGAAATAGCTAACAGCTGGGGAATATCACAGAAGAATTGCTGGATTTCATTGAGTTCACAGTAAGATAAGGAAAAGGTACCTGCCGTGTGTATCATAGACAGCATACAGCCACTGAGCAATGATAGAGATGCCATCTGCACACAGGTGTCCCTGTTCATGATGACTTTGTAGTGCAGTGGATGGCAGATGGCAGCATAGCGGTCAATGGACATAGCAGTGAGGAAGAACAGCTCTGTGGCTGCTGAAAAGGTCACCAGGAAGACCTGAGTAACACAGCCGAGGAAAGAGATGTAGTCGTTGTGGGTCAAAGAGTTGACAATAGTTTTGGGTATTACAGCAGAAATGAGGCAGAGGTCAAAAAAGGAGAGATTCCTTAAAAAGAAGTACATAGGCGTGTGGAGACTTGGGTCCAAAGAGGTTATGGTGATAATAAGCCCATTTCCCATCAGGGCTGCCAGGTAAATTACTATGAAAACCCCAGCTTGTAAAAACTGAAGCTTCCATGTTCCAGCAAAACCCATCAGAAGAAACTCTGTCACCGCTGAGATATTGTTCATTGTTCATAGAAGATGCAGCTGCATTAAGAATATAGAGAGATATATGTCACGAGTAAAACTCAAGAATATTATCTGTTCCTGTGAATAATATCTAGCACAAAGCAACCAATAAACCTAGAGCCTTCATGATATAAACACTCTATAAAAATACAATAAAATATTTTGTTGTTTACAGCATTCGTGCGTACTTTGTTTTATTAAGTTTTCTCTTTGGGGTATGTGCTATTAGGTATTCAATCACTATTTTACTGTGCACATTTTATCACCTGATTTGGCTAATAAAGGAGCCTATGTAACAGAAGGGGAAATATAAATTTGCACATGATAGTGTGTGTGTGTGGGGTGTGTGTGTGTGTAGGGGGTAATATGATTCTTCATTTTGCCTAAGATATAACCTAGTTCCAGTTTGATTTGAACTTGTTGTCTATCCATCCAATGGACTCATTGTTTTATAATTAAAGTTTTTATGTTTGTATCATCCTTTTAGACATTCTTCTTTATAAAATAAAAAATATATTTTATATTGAATTCCATTCTTCTTTCTCTCTTTTAAAATTAACTCATATCTTCTAACTGTTTGGATTCTTGTTTCTAAATAATTAAATGTTACACTAACAGAATTTCAGCTCTGCTTCTCTATTCTCTCCCCTGATTATCTTATAGGTTTTTGAGAATCTAGTTTTCAATCTTATGAATTCACTTAATATATTTTTAAAACTCCTATGGATAGATGGATAGATATACAAAACAGAGATACACAGATGATAGAGTTGTAGAAATGAGCACCTATATGCTTTCCAATGTTTAATTTAATATAAGATTTCTCCTGAACATAAAGTCATAAGAAAGAATAAAATTTTATGTGCAATTTTTTTCTTTATCTGTATTCTGAATTCTAATCCCTGTTTCCAATTTTCTGAGGGATATTTTACTTACATTTACCAAATCCATTTAGACAAATAGTTGTCTAAATGCAACCATATATTTAATGGAAACTTCTCTATACAGTTCTCTACTTGATTTGAAATTCACCGATAATTTTGAGGGGAAGGCATAAAAAGTTAGAAAACTATATACAATGTGTTTCTACACATATATTTGCTAAGGTCTGTGATATTTTCATATCTTTCAAGATTTGAATTAATTCAGTGAGTGGAAAAGATTAAAGAGAATGCAGTTTGTGGTAGAGTGGGTAAAGTGGATAAATTAACTCTAAAATGCTGAATTCAAACTACCCTACTCTTTTCTAATTATGGAATAAGTAGTAATAGAAGTAATTATTTTAGATGGGAGCTTGTAATTTTCTTTATTACATGCGTTTAAATATGCTTTCAACAAGTCTTAATGTTTCTTTTAGATATGATTTAATCTATTAGTTTATCTTCAAATTTTTTACCTCCTTCCTGACTAGTATGTTTTCTTTTTCTTTCTATGTCTTTTGTTTTACTCTTTGAAGATTATGCATCACTGAAAAATTAATGAAAATAGGAATTATTGTGAATGGCTATGATGGGGGCTATAGTTTTACAATTATTTTATTGGAAATAAACACAAAATTATTCATTTCAAAGGCATTTACATTTAAAAATTTGAAAATGTATCAGGGTAGGGATAAGATTTATTGTCAATTCATTAGCATATTTTCTGTTCTATATAGGCTCTAGAAGCTATGATCTTTTTATGGTACCCAAAACAAATTTCTAATAAACCAATGAAATACTATAATTGGTAGCATCATATAAATCAATAACAGGATTTGGCCCATGATGCTATAAAGTAGATTCATAATAATATTCCACATTTTGTCATTTATGCGTAGCAGTTTCACATAATATTATGCATGCTTTTTAAGATTCACTTTTTGTTCCTCTCTTAACAAGATCTTGCTCAGAACTAAAATAGATTGTATCTGATATTTTCAACTAATTACTCATTGATTATAGTGTGTTCAGCTCCTTGTTATTTTACAATGTCAGGCATTTTTTAAACTGAAATTCAATAATAACAACCAAGCTCCATAAAACAAATCATTTTAATTCATCTTTCAGAAAATATGTTAAAAAATAGTGCTTACTTCACTGTAACCTATATTTAAGATAGACATATTTTAGTTACCTTAAAATGCACAATTAATCCATTCAGAAAATTTTGATACAAAATGATTAAAATAAGGCTTTTTCTTTCAACCTTATTACATTGCATACAGAATTATAACAACAAATATAATTCAAGAAAATTAGAACTTACTAAAATATTGGGTGCCTAGAAAATGGAAGCAATCCACAGGTGTTTGATGTAGTTTTTATCAAAGTATCAGGTAGTCGATGTTAATATTTACTTTCAGGTACTGAGAATGCCTTACCTATAAAGTGCTTAGTGTCTTACTGTCTTGACTATAGGAAATGCATATGGCAGTTAAAAACTGAACAAGGATGTCAGTTATTTATCTGCATTGCCTATCTCCCCAAAGCTGGAGCTCCAGTATATTCCTCAGGGAAATGAATCCATTGTATTTACAATTCACTTCTTAATCTGTCTTCACAGTTATAACATATGATTTTTGACATTCTCTGATGCATGAAAATTTAGTACTACAACTGACTTTTAATTTTAGCAATGAGTACTTTCATTTAACAAATCACATCTAAATTATTAAGCACATAATTTATTCCAAATATATTAGACAAAAGCATAAAACTGATGTTTAGTGGGTAAAATTAGTTTTTCAAAATTTCTCTGCTTTTATTAAGTGGATTGTTATGCTTTTTATCACAACTTTCCATAATGCAGTGCCATCACGCTAATTTTGAATTCATAGAGATCCAAGGCAGGGTTTTCAAGATTGTAAATATTTATGGATCCGTTGCCCTCATCTTTCTACTTCAGAGCAGCTGATGGGGGGGAGCTATTGTGTCAGTCTGGGAACTTTAGACAACCAAATCCACAGAAACTCATGTATAAGACAGAGTTTTATATAAAGGATAAGTGTGCATCAAGAAAACATCCCAACCCTGTGCTGCCCAAGCCAACTCCAACATTAACCCATTAACTCATATGTCCAACACAATCCACAGAGTCCTCCTCCATCTCGCAAAATGGACGCAATGATGCTGACTGTAGGAGGAATGCCGAGTCAGTGAATGTGCAAGCATCTCAGAGAGGCCAGGGGTCTCCACACGGCTGCTCAAGCACCCAGGGCTGCATCAGGGTAGATCCATGTGGCTTCTCCTTGGGGTTGTCTTCCAGGAAGTCAGTCTTACAAGTGGAAGCAGGGAACTGGTAAGGCAGCTGCACCCTGGTGCGACTATCACAAAACAAGAGACCCAAGAACTAGAAAGGGGAGGCTCACCTAGCCATTTGTCCCTCCGCCGTTCAATTAACCCCATATGTGTTTATAGGCCAAGTTGGCACAACAAACTTAACTCAGCCATCAATATCAAGGCTAATACTTCAACCAGGTGGCCCCACCAGGGGTCTTTTACTATTGTATTATTGATATATTAATATGACTTATCAGAATCATGTACTAACTTATTTGAATCCTGTAATCAATTCTACAAAGGAAAATGATTTTATGATTATGAGGTGATGTATTGAACAGATTTATCCGTACTATAAGTAAAGGGAGTCCTGGGGGTGGAATGTTGGCAAGTTGAGCTGTGACTCTAGATGGAATTGCAGTTGCAAATCACCAGCAGCAATGTGGGAGAAAGATTGGGCTTTCTCTTCTCTTAAACAGTCACAGTCTAGGAAATCCACGGGGTTTTGCTATGAGTTAACATTGACTTGAAGGCAGTGAATTATTAGATGAGTAGAGTACAAGGTAGATAGTGTCTTCCCCATAGAGGCTGAACAAATGATTGGAAAATTACATTCTTTAACTATTCTCTCACTGATTATGGTATTATCATTTACATGAGCATATCCTTGTAGCATCCAGTCAATCCAGCTCATTGAAGGTCTCCCTCTTTTTTTGGTGACTGTACCTTCTGGCAAGAATGGTGTGTTCTCCAGGAAATAATCGCTCCTAATCAAATGTCCAACATACATAAAATGAAATGTCATCACCCTCATTGCTGAGGGGAATTCTCAGTAGACGTCTTCCAAGCCAGATGTGTTTGTTCTTCTGGTAGTCTGTGATGTATTTAAAATTGTTCACTAACACTATAATTCAGAGGCAGTAATTCATCTTCAATCTTCCGTATACATTGTCTAGGTTTCACATGCAAATGAAACTATTTAAAGAAACATCGTTTGTGTCAGGCACATCTTAGTTCTCAAAGTACTTTAGAGCACAAAGCACTATTTATTCTTTTTCAAAGTCCATGATCTTTTTTTGCAGTAGATTTTCCCATGGCAAGATGTTGTCTGAATCACGAACGGCCGCCTCCTTAGTCCTTGGTGGTTGACTCAAGTAAAATGAAATTATGTTGCAGTGTAATCCA